TTCTTCTTCTTCTTCTTCTTCTTCTTCTTCTTCTTCTTCTTCTTCTTCTTCTTCTTCTTCTTTAATTTAAAAATTTATGTCTTTTGCCTGCATGTATATTTTGCAAAAAACATGTGTGACTGGTAACCACAGAGGACAGAAGAGTGTTGGGATCCCCGAAACCAGAGTTACAGACAGTTGTGAGCCATTAGGCAAGTGCTGGGAATTGGACCTGGGCTGCTGGAAGAGCAGGCAGGGCCCTTAACCACTGGGCCATCTCTCCAGCCCCAGCCTAAATTTCTTAACTGTTCTTTTTACTTGTGAAATGGTAATAATGATGACAGCAAACTCATAGAAACAGGAAGCAAATGCCTGGGCAATGTAGGGCACAGTTGGTGCCAGTGCCTTTCCTGTTCAACCTCATTGTCGAAGGTGTAGCCTCCATGGCCCACAGCTGATTCAGTGGGCAGCATGTATGTTACAGCTCATAAAATGAGGCCCATATGCTATCATTTGTTTCGCTAAGACACAGCATCATCCTTGCATCTCTTGAAGGAGAGTGTGGCACTTGCCAAGACCTGCATCCTCAGCTCCACGTGAGCTCATCATCTTGTGGGGAGTCAGAACACTCTGAGTGAGATAGAATTTCTCTCCTTCTAGGGCAAGAATGCTGGCAGGGAGAGTAACCCAGGCACAGTGTGGCTGAAACTGTCCTGTGGAGGCCTTTTGAATCAGGCACTGCAGGCTGTGCAGATGTGGCTGTCACCCTGGTGTCCCCTCTCCCTGTGGACGTGAAGCCTGTGACACCCTCCCAGCCTGGTTCTCCAGGAAGATGCTGGAAGAGGTCCAGCTTGCAGTGAGCACAGTGAGCAACCCTGAGGTAGCTGCCCAGCGGGGGGCCCTCAGGGCTGCTGGGAGGGGAGGGGACAGCAGGGGCAGATTTTGTCTGCATTTCAACAGTGATGCCGTGTGGCCCTGAGAGCAAAAGCAGACCAAGGAGCAGGTACAAGCTGTGGCTGTTGCCTCTTTGATGGCCAGAGTCATGCTGTTGCACTAGGCAAGCATCCTGGGCAGTGGTGGGGTGTTAGCATTATCACCATGAGGAAACCCCACTAAAGAAAGAATCTTTCCAAGTTAAACTGGTTGGAGACTGAGAGTGAAGGAATTTGAGAGTTTAAGAGAATAAAACCTTGGCTTGAACTTCAAGATAGGAAATGATCCCAAGGTGGTACCCGAGGGGCTGGTTATCACCTCAGATTGCACAGAACACTGGGGTCACATTGTGGAGAGGTCCTGGCGTAGGAGAACAGCCACCTTTCTCTGGTCATCCTTGCTCCACGAGAGACCACTTTTCATCTTATTGCTGCCGTCAGTCAGTGGCCCCGTTGACTTTATAGATTAGTCAAGACTAATCTCAACTAATTGTAGGTATCAAGAAAGAAACTAAAGGAGCTTAAGTTTCACCAAGTTGGGAAAGCTGCACACTGATTCACAGATTAGAATGAAACAGAGATTTAGAATGTTGAGGAAGGCCAGAACCTGGGATGCTCCTCAGAACAGACTCTGTTCTGTTTACATCTGCAATTCCAGCATTAAAGAGACATTTATT